AGGGTCCTTTCACTGTTTTTTCAAGCAGTTTTAAAGGCACTGAACCTGTGTTCTTGTATCAGCCTGCTGCTTTTTTTCCCCAGCGGATTTTCAGACACCAAGCATGGATGTTTTGTAGCAACCCACTGCTGTTTTCTGGCTCATTTTTAGCTTTGATCAGCTTTTTGGGTACCTAACATAGGTCTTTTGTAGCGACCTGCCACTGTTTTTTTTCCAATGGATTTTAGGGTACCAAACGTGGGTGTTTTGTAGCAACCTGTCACTGTTTGTTCGGTGTCTTTTTCAGGCACCAAAGGTGGGTGTTTTGTAGCAACCTGTCACTGTATTTCCGGTGGTTTTTAGGCATTAAATGTAGGTGTTTTTTAGTGTGTTGTCACTGTTTTTCCAGCAGCTTTTTAAGCACTGAGCACAGGTGTTTGGTCGCGACCTGTCACTGTTTTTCCATTTGTGTTTTTATGTCCCAAATGTTGGTGTTTTTTAGGGTTCTTTCACTGTTTTTCCAGCAACTTTTTAGCCACCAAACATGGGTGTTTGTAGCATCCTGTTGCTGTTTCCCAGCAGTTTTTAGGCACTGAATCTGGGTGCTTGTATCAACCTGCTGCTTATTTTTCTCCAGCGGATTTTAAGGCACCAAACATAGATGTTTTATATCAACCCACTGTGATTTTCTAGCTCACTTTTAGGCATTGAATGTGGGTGTTTCGTACGGACCCATCACTGTTTTCCAGCAACTTTTTAGGTACCAAATTTAGGTCTTTTATATTGACCTGCTGTTTTTATTTTCAGCAGATATTTAGGTACCAAACATTGGTGTTTTGTAGCAGCCTGTCACTGTTTTTTTATGCACTAAAACAAGGGTTTTTGTAGTAACCTGTTGCTGTTTTTCCAGCAGCTTTTTAGTTACCAAACGCAGGTCTTTTGTAGTAACCTGCCACATTTTTTCAGGGGATTTTTAGCTACCAAACATGGGTGTTTTGTAGTGACCTGTCACTGTTCTTCCAGTGCTTTTTACATCTACATAACAGTGATGATTACAGAGAGTTAATTCCCTGTACTAATCTACTAGAAAGTGTTAATAGTAGCATTTTGTAGGCTGTGCCTGTGCACGTGCCGCCTCATTCCATGGTGTGCACGGACACTCTGCAGGTTCACAGGTAGATTAAATCCTTAAAACAATCCCAAAGCAGCAGAGCAGCTATTCGGGTCCAATCTGTAACCTGAGGGGCTGTGCTTCACAATTATGCATGCGACAAATATAGCCACCAATCTCTCATAACTTAAATCAAAAACACAGCAGGACTGTAATGTAGCACAAAGTCTTTGCTGTAAACCATAACTCAAATTCCCACAGTTATCTTTGAATAATTCATACAAAAGAAATGAAGAAGAAGAAGAGTTATGGAAAGGTGTCTTGATTATGCAGTCCTGTAAAGAAGGCTTGAGTTGATTAATTGTCTCACTCAGTGTTCTGACAATGATCGTTGTGTGCATGTAAACTTAGCCAATGACCACATGCACATATTTTTTTATTTTATTTGTTTATTTTATTGCAATAAAACAAAACAAAATTTAACAGCAGATGTTTTTATCTTCTCACCTCACTGCAGTGATGTAAAAGTTTACTATGTCAGTATACAATGACATCAATGCTGGGCAAAAGTGTACGTTTTATTTTAACGTTGGGAGGAACAGATAGGAAACATGGTGTTTGGGGTCCTACCCAGGAAATTTTGAGCTACAATTTCTTAATTGCTTGCATTCTGGTGAATTTTTATGCATCTTTTTTGCCTTTTCTGCATCAGTTTATGGTGGAGATATATTTAGTTTCATCAAAATTAAAGTCCTCTGCTACTTTCATGATTTTATTTTGGGCTGACAAGTTCACATGTTTTAAATACTGACGGGGACGTGTCGCTGCCTGTTGCAAAACACTTAAAACTTAAAATCAGAGGGCAGCAAAAAACTGCTTTTAAGCCTCATGCAAAGTTACTCTTTGATGTTTAAAGAAAGTCTGTCATTAAAGGTTTTTGTGCAAATATTAAACAGGTAAAACACTCCTTTTTCGCTGTAATATTTTAAGCTTCATGTTTGTGCACATCCACCAAATGAAGCCATGATGATAGAAGAGATCATCTGTATGCCCGAGCTCAAATTTCTGATACCAAACATTTGCACTGACTGTCTCATCTCATCTGTGTTCCTGCCCACTCTGCGAGCAATATCATGGGAAGACACAAAAATACCAAACAGACACATTCAAGGAAAAAAACAACACTTGCCTCAGTTCACAAGCTGACTGTGTTTGATTTCCACTGGCAGGAAATTTGGCCTCTGCTCTGTCAGTTGGCCACAAGTGATTTTAAACCTTAAAGGCAGATGTGTGGAAGCTTTCCAAACAACCAGCAACACTTCAAGTACACAAAGGAACATTTTGGGAATGAGTTTATGTCGACTGCTTTCTAAATGATGTGAAATAAAAAGGGAATTTTTATCCTCTGATTTTGCAGTTCACTTTTAAATACTATACTATTAAGGGGAATGTAACTGACCTATTGGATAATCACAAGAATTTAGGTACCGTGTTCAACAAGAAGTTGAGCTTCCAATCAAATGTAGATGCAGTTTCTAAAAGGTCTGATGACATCTGTTTTTCTTGAGAAAAATAAACTCTCCTAATGATGACTCTGGTTTATAGAAGTTTTACTGAGTCTGTATATTCCCTCTGAATCGTGGCCAAGTGGCATCCTCCGGTGCTGAAATATGAGGCCAACACGGTGGTGCCAAAAACTGCAGTTCCTCTAATGACCACTTGAGGCTGGCTCCAAAAGTGAGTCAATCTCCACAGACCCCCAGAAATAAACATGTTCATTAAAGTTTAAAGTTAAGTATAAAGTTAAGCATAATTGAGCCCGGTCTTACTCCGAAGTCGTCGAAATCCGACACTTGGGCAGCGTCAGAAACCAACGAAAAAAGGCATCATTTAAGGTCAGCATGCTACCTGGCCGGTTGCCGTTACAGTTTAATGGTGCCCCGTGGTGTCAGGGAGAAATGCGGCAGGACAAGAACGAACGTTTGGGCGGTAAAAGTTCGACTGGGGTGGATCCATCCAACAAACACTGACTTCCACCTGGGAGGCCGGTGTTTGCGTCCCGTAAGATTATAAAGCCAAACCCTGTTCTTTTTTCCTAAATCTAACCACGTGCTTTTGTTGCCTAAACCCAACCAACGTCACTTTGCCTTGTTGTACAGACATTGTGTGTTTATGCAAACTGTACATTTCCTGTGAAAACAGAAGTGTATTTTGAAAACAGACAATGCATGTAACAGGCTGAAGTTGACACGACGTCCCAGAACGTCAACAACCAACACACCCAGGGTACCTTGGACGTCGTATGTGGACGACCAAAACGTCAATATGTGACGAGGTCGGGTTGAGAATGTGTTGCATAATTAAGTGCAGGACACTTTTTGAGTGTCAGGCTAGCCCTTCAAACACAGAGATCGTACTCTAAGGTTGCTATAGGTGCCTTCAATATGCTGCCTTTGCGTTCTTACATGGAACCAAACAACAGTGGCGTGATGCGGCCCATGTGTGCAGACCTGAGTTTGCAGGAGGGAGTGTGGCGATGGAGGAGCTCAGACAGGTGGGAGGAGCCAGGTTGTGGAGGGCGTTATAGGTGATGATGAGGAGTTTGAAGTGGGTATGCTGGGGGAGAGGGAGCCAGTGGAGGTTATGAAGGACGGGGGGGTGATGTCGTCACGTGTGCGACAATGAGTGAGAAGATGAGCAGCAGAGTTTTGGATGATGAACCGTAGAGGAGACTGTTGCAGTCGTCCAGTCTGGAAGTGATGAATACATGGATGAGTCTCTGCAGCTGAAAAGGAGAGGGGTGGATGAAGGCGGGTGATATTTCAGAGATGAAAGAGGGCTGTTTTGGCGATGTGTTTGATATTGGCGGGGGGGGGGCCTCTAGAATCTCTGCTGCTCACGGTCATTTCATAAAGCCCCAGCCTCACCTGAGCTCTCTGGGCGTAAATGTCCTGAACACAGAAAATTAGAATATCCAGGCAGAGGGCAGAGTCTCTGCAGAGAATACACCACCACACTTCCAGTCAGTCAACCTGTTGGACCCCCTGCCCTCAGGCCGGTGCTACAGCTCATTAAGAACCTCGGACCACCAGACTCATGAACAGTTTCTCTCCTAAGGTCATTCACACTCTCAATCAACATATAAAATGAACAGCCACAGTGCACTCTCACTATATTTTATTTCTACACGGTAATAACTACTGTGGACCGGGCAATTTGCTGACTCTGGTACTTTATATTTATTGACTCTGGTACTTTATATTTATTGACTCTGGCACTTTTATAGCCACCTCTTTTATTTTATGTGCAGTGTGCTTAATGTTTTTAATATCATATGTAGTGTGTCTTGTGCACCAACCAGGAGTGGCCCTCCAAATGTCGTTGTGTCCTGCACAATACAACGACAATAAAGGCTTTCCTAACTTCTAATAAGCATCGTTGTGTTTTCGTTACCTTAGACTGAGCAGGTCTTTGTTTATGAAGATCATCATGTCAGTAAATGCACGCTAAATCCTGCTTAAATCTTACACGCTGGACCTCTAAATGAAGTTTGTGGCTTTGAAACTTTTTGTTGTTTAGTGTTTTGGGGCCTCAGACTGGTCGTTAGAGACGCATGAACAAAATGCCTGACATGTGCTTTCAGCTGATCACTTGGGTTTATGCATTATTAAGATAAGTCATCATGTAAGCCACTTGTGAGTGATTGTGTGTGACACTTTCTGCAGTAGCTCAGCGTCCAAACGTTTCCAGCTGTGCTCCTGTCCTCAGACTTTAGTGTCTCACCCTCCTTAGTGATGCACTTTTTGGAGTTCCTGGCCTTTGTTGTCCCAGCTACGTTTTTTTTCCTGTTGTTCTTTGCATGCCACTTACACCCTGCGTGTCTCTTTCTGTGTGTGTGTTTTGGGTTCAGGATCGGGTGGACGATGAACATGTCTGGCGGCGCCCCAGGGGAGGAGCTCACGGATGAGGAGAAGGAGATCATCAACAGTGTACTGGCTCGTGCGGCCATGATGGAGGCCATGGAGCATGAGAGGATTGAGTGAGATGGAAAACTATTGTCTCTGTTGCACAGAATCACATCGGTCGACCGTGCCGAGATGCTCGCTGAGTTGAATGATTTTCAGTGTGAAACCTGTGCCAAGTTTGTGTTCTGTGCTCACATTTATTTACATGTGCTCCCAGGCGTCTCACCAGCCGGCTGGATAACATCAAGAAGACGGCGTGTGGTGACGGACAGTCGCGCTGTCTGTTGTGTGGGACGGCTTTTGGACCACAGGGGGCCACAGCTGTCCTCTGTGTGCAGTGTAATAAAGTAGGTGGATCTCTGTATTCTTTCTGCTTGAACAGGGACAGAATAGAGACGGCGCACGCAGCAGAGAGTCCCCAGAGGACGTGAGGACATCCCAGGATTTCTGTTTACTATATTTTCTATAGTGTTGTGGAGCTCCTGAGAGGTTTCCTATGGCGATGAGCACCCAGTGGGCCGTATGCTAACTTGTTCTGACACACACTCTGTGTCTCCTGGTCTGAGGCACCACATTCTGCTCCTTGTTTATTTCAGTTACTAAGCTGAGGTTAATGCTATGTGAACTGTAAAAATATATATGCTCTGTGCACCTGCCATAGGATCATTCCTCTGCGCATGTAGAAGTCTTAGTCGTGGACTGTAACTAAGTACATTTACTGTAACGTACCGTTTAGTTAAGTACAAATTTGAAGCACTTGTCAGTCTCACTCCCAACTCCTCAAACACTGCAGCTCAGTCAGTGGCCCTACGTTTCAAACTGTGACGCTTTGTGTGGCTGTGGTAGTTATGACAGGAGCAAAAGAGGTCGGCCAGCCGGTCCTTGTGTGACCAAAGTAAGAGCTGAGTCCGCATACAAAGTCAAACATGTGGGTGTTGGCCTCCGCCAGGGTTGTCCCTCATCATCGATTCTGTTTGTGATATTCATGGACAGGATCTCAAGGCGCAGCCTTGTCACAGGTCAGGTTAGGTGACCTCAGAATTGCATCTCTGCTCTTTGCAGATGATGTGGTTTTGTTGGCTTCATCACACTGTGACTTCCAGCATGCACTGGGGCGGTTTTAGTGTGAAGTGTTTGGGATGGGCACCTCCAAATATGAGGCCATGGTTCTCTGCCGGAAACCGGTGGATTGCCTCCTCTGGGTTAGGAGCCCCAAGCAAAGGAATTCAAGTATCTCGGGGTCTTGTTCACGAGTGAGGGTAGAATGGAGCGTGAGATGGATCGGCGGCTTTGTGCAGCGTCTGCAGTGATGTAGGCACTGTGCTGGACTGTTGTGGTGAAGAGGGAGCTGAGCCAGAAGGCGGAGCTTTTGATTCACCGGTCCATCTACGTCCCAACCCTCACCTATGGTCATGAGCTCTGGGTAGTGACTGAAAGAATGAGATCAACAGTGGTAGGAGGCCCCGGGGCAGACCCAGAACACGCTGGAGGGATTACATATCTCGTCTGGTCTGGGAACACCTCGGGGTCCTCCAGGAGGAGCTGGAAAGTGTTGCTGGGGAGAGGGACGTCTGGGGTGCTTTGCCCCAGAAACAATGCCAGACTTTGAAGCCATTTTAGTGGCCAAACCATGAAATTGCAACTTCTGGGTCCATCACAAAGGCTCAGATCTTCGCACATGAAGTAGGTGATGGACTATGGTGTTATTTTCTGATCCCTCTAGTAGTTTTGCCGAGCTGAGTTCGTCCAGTGTTGGTCGATTTTTTGGCAGAGTGGGTTTAGCAAGAGCTCGACTGCAAAAATCAGATTTTTAGAAAACATTTGATTCTGTTTTTACTGTCAGTTTTATTTATGAGTGTAGCTGTGACAGAGAGAGTAATTTGATGTCTTATTTTAGTGGTGACATCACTGTTTCCTGTAGTGTTAAACAGCCAATCAAAGTGCTCGATACAAAGTGCTGCACAAAGAAGACAAAGACTGATTGATTTTATAGGTTTTTAAGGAAAAGACAGTAATAAGAGTAGAGCTTGGCCGTCAGAGGCTAACAGTCAGTACGTTTACATGCAGCTTGAGAAAATCGAATTATTGGCTTAGTCCGACTGAAATGGGACTATCCGTAGCTCGACTAACACACCTAGATAATTTGATTGAAAATTGAACTATTGCTGCAGGTATCCACTTAGTCCTACTGGAGTCGGACTCGGCGTTCTGTGCACACACCACTTTTTCTTTCATGGGCTTTCATCCCGAAGAAGGAGGAGATGATGTAACAGCAGTTCAGTAACTCCCGCAAAAACAAACAAACACCATGGCGACCGAGAAGCAGAAGACGCACTTCTGGACGGACGAGGAAACTACATTCACGCTCCGACAACTAAAGGAGCTAAACATTGTGAAGTTTATGGATGGTCGGAAAACGTGAAACACGGGTTTATTTTAAAAGTTTCTGAACAAGAACCGGAACTAGATCAACACGCACTGTATTAAAAAGGACACACCGCCGCCTCTCGTATACTCAGACAAGACTAGAAGTCTGACTTGACTGAGCTTAGCTCGACTACTGCATGCATGTAAACGTGCTGACTATCTCTGGATGGTGACGTGTGAGATGAGCCCTCATGTTTGTAGTATTCCCAGAGTATTTTATTCTCATATGACACTGCTGTAAATTCCATGTGACATATCCAAGTCCTCCTTTCCTTCTGTGTTAAAAAATCCCAAATAAGTCCAGACATTTGATTTAAACGCCAACAGCACCGATGGCCTCCATCTTTGTTTTGATGAACTTCCTGCCGAAGGCCGCTGACTGAGACCTCTGCTGACCTCAGGAAAGAAATATTAGCACCATCTAGGGGACACAAAAAGCAACTGATTTTGATATTCTAGTACCAGAAGTTATATAAAAAATATTTTTTGTAAAGATTAATAATGTATACAATAAGAGATCGATACTTGGCGTACATATTGCATTACAATGCTGTATGGACTGTTTCTCCCACCCCTACAATATAATTGAAGAATCACCCTTACAGTGTGAACAAGAGTGTATAATTAAAAACAAAAATTGTTTGATACTTTAAGCACAATTTCCTGATTATACGTCCAGAAGATACATTTTCATTTACTCTGTCATTTACTTGTAACAGGGTATTTTTCTTTTGTGCTCTGACCTCAGTAAAGGATCTGAATACTTCCTCCATCACTGCTCTTATGTATGTTTTTGCCTCTTTGCAGCACATGTGCAGCAAATGTGGGATCTGGAGCAACAGCAGGACGAATCCTATGTGGCTGTGCAGAATCTGCAATGAACAAATAGAGGTGAGGGGATGAGGAGGATGAAGAACAGAGTGGGCGCGATAAAATCAAATTATGCAATTATGTCATTCTGCCGCCACCAGAACAGAAACTTTTCTCATGATATGAACCATTTTCCAGCTTTTAGACTTGTCATTTAGCAGAGAAATGCATTTCACTGTCTAGTGACCTGGAAAATTACCTTTCATTGATACCCCCTCAATATCCCCCAAAATATTTATTTCACTGCTTTTTTAATTCTTAAAAATACAGACGGTGTTTTGATCAATATGAAACATGAAGAATAAGGTCTGCTTTCTGTTTTTCTCACTGATGCAGTTATACAATGCTGTTTTGATGATGGCGCTGCAGTTTGTTGAGGTCTGTGCCTCGGGGAGCCCGGACTCTTTAAATAAATGCTCTCTCCTGTCACTCACACGCAGAATAACTACACTGTAATGCTGCAAAAACACAAAGTGGCCGAGTGTCTGCTCCACAGAATCAAGGAGTGAAGAGACAAGCGTGCACACACACACACACACACACACACATGCACAAAAAAAATCAAATAAATCAGCCGTCCATCATACGTTTAATGTATTTAAACAATCACACAATTTCACACATAATAAAGTCTGAACTGACTTTCACAGCCCAGTCGCCACAAGGAAATGTTGCATTGTACGTGTCTGCCAACGACGAATATGTTTTGTACATTTCATATCAACGTTTCTAAAGAGACGTCGTATATGAGCTGACTTTTGTCATTGGGTGGTGGAAGGGATGATGTTGCATCTACTTACTGCCAAGCTGCAGACCACTGTTAGACACCAGCGACTAAACTGCTTGTGATTTAACGAGTCTTTGCTGTTTTTCCAGCAGCTATTTATCCACCAAATGTGGGTGTTTTTGGGGGCCAGTTGCTGTTTTTACAGCAGAGACAGTACCACAAGAAGTGGATGGTTTTTACCAAGACATTGCTTCGTAAAAGTGTCTTTTCAGCCACCGAACGTGGGTGTTTTTGGAGGCCAGTCACTGTTTTGCCAGTGAGGATTGTGCCCCAAAAACCAGGTATTTTAAGCTAAGCAACGTATTCTCATAGAAAGATTCGTATGATATCCTATGAAAGATGCATGCAGTACAGTTCGTATGAGTCCCTACAAATTAGTGCCCCATGAATGACGTTACGTCCTTAACGTACAGTTACATGATTAATGTAAAGTTACAGTGGTTAGGTTTTAAGAAAAGACACATGGTGAGAGCGTGCCTTAAAATGACTTAAAGTTCACACGGATCCGAACACACGACTCCATGGGAGAGTAAGTCCAGTTTCTGGTGACCAATCCATCGCCCCAACCTGCTTCCTTTCAAGCGTTCTTGACTGCCTCCTCGTTAACTGCTGTCAGCGCACTGGTCATGTGATTGCAGCATTTCAACATCCGTGCAATATGTACGAATGTGGGTGCGTTGCCTTTCGTAGGAAAATACACTAAACATTTGTGAGAACAGCCTGAGCTAAGACACGATCTTTTCCAAACAATAACCAAGTAGTTTCTGTGCCTCAACATAACCACACCTTAACCTCCGCATCATTAAAATGTAAAGTTTCAACATATCAGCTAAATAATAACGCACAAATTTGACGTTACTCGATTCAACAAACTCAAACTGCAGTTCCATTATTGGCCACCAGAGGCAGCCGATCTCAACCGATCAATTTCCCTCGAAATTCACATAAGGCCCATTTCCACCGCAGGAACTTCGGGGTAATTTTACGGGGCCGGGGCCGTTGGTGTGTGTCTCCACCGCAGGAACCACCCCCGAAGGACAGAGTTCTGGAACTTTTACAGGGGCTAAACAAGTCCCTGCCTCGGAGTAGGTACTCAGAACTGCCCTGAAAAACTCCTGGCTGGGGCTTGGGGTTTACTTGGTGCTGATTGGATATACTCAAGGCGGGACGTGACGTCAACAGAAAGCGACAAAATAGCCGGCATTTTAAAAAAAAACTCAGCAGACGAGGGTTAGCTCGTTCATAGCTTCCACCGCCATGTAAATGAAGAGACACGCCAGAAACCCAGCAACCACCTCAGCTCCTTCCATGTTGATTATCGTCTTTCTTATGTCTGCTTTCTTCTTCGTACTTCTGCTTCTTCTTCTTTGTTGTTGTTCTTCTTTGTTTCTTTGCTGCGTTGCCCCTGTCAAAATGGTCGCACAACGATTACGTCACATCCAGAGCCCGTAACTTTACAGGAACCTTCCTCCTACTCCGCCCTCTCAGTGGAGACACGGCGGTGGAGAGGACCGAGCGAGATGACGTTCCTGTAAAGTTCCTGCCCCCCAAATAGTACCAGGAACTTCTTCAGTGGAAACGGGCCTATAGTAGTTACTAATTTCGCCTCGTTTCGCCTTTTGACCTGAGCCCCGTGTGTGTCTCTGCAGGTACAGAAGCGCTCAGGAGCTTGGTTCTTCAAGGGAAGAGTCCACCAGGGTCTGCCGCCCCCCCTCCCTCTGTCCAGACCTCGACAGTCCAGCACTGAGGACAGTTCTGGTGCAGGAGGCTACAATGGATCACAGGACCCTACAACACATCCTCAGGAACATGGTAGTTTATACAGACAGAGATAAGGGTGCAGGATTTTCAGTTACTGTTTGTACACTTTCGCCAGCAACATGAAAGTAAAAGCCAACACCAGATTCACTGAGAGTGGGTCAGACGTGATGGTTGAGAGGGATTACTGCTGTATGAGTCTAGACATTATTTTTTCGGAAAATTTGCAGAGTGCATCTTTAAGATTTTGAACGCTGGAGTATTTTTACACTGTGGTATATCTGCGTTTACTAAAAGTTCTGAGTACGTCTTCCACCGCTGCTGTGCTAGCAGCAGCACTGATAGTGTCTGTTGTGGTGGCAGTGATATTCTTATTTTGTCTCCTCAGAACCACAGCAGCAGCCATCACGTGGATCAGAACAATGGGAGCAGACAGCAACAACAACAGCTGACAGCTATAATGAGAGTCAGTCCTGTCCAGCAGCTGTAATGAAGACTGAGAGACATGTGTTAGCCTCCAAACCACCTCGAGCAAACGCACAGCAGGTCGCCCCCTCCTCAGGTAAAACACCGCTGCTCCTTCTAAGAATAAACAGGAGCCGGGCTGCGTTCAAGACATTAATAGCATCATATAAAAAGATGTTTCAGACTTGATTAATCTCTGATGTTAATGTCACCAGCTCCTGCTGCAGATGTGGAAGCAACTGCGGCCCCTCCAGCTGTGGAGCTAAAAAGACAAGCTGTTGTCTCCAGCTCCATCTCATCACATGTTCCTGCGACCAGAGTGAATCCACCTGTTAACCCACCGGTCAACAACCCCGCCCCCTCACGACCTCCACCTGATCGGACAGAGGTTGAGGACAACGACTACGACTCAGATGACGCCAGTAAGACTGGTTTTACCTCTCAAACCAAACCTCTATGTCACAGAACGTGACTCTGTCTTAACCAGCCCCAGATGTTCCACTAATTTTTATCACTTTGAGTAAAATAAATCTTCCTGCAGCTGTGAGAGAAGTTCCCAGATGAGCAATGAAGAGTCACAAATCAATGTTTATTTGCCTTCCAGGGAAATAAGTTCCTCTAACATGTTCCTGTGTTTTTATTCCTGCAGCCACTCTGGGATGTCTGGAGTTCAGTCTCCTCTATGAGCAGGAGAACCACACCCTGCACTGCTGCATCGTTAAAGCCAAGGTAAACGTGTTTACACACATGACACAAGATGAAACGAGATGAGACAAGATGTGACAAGACAAGAAAAGACAAGGCAGGATGTCACAGGATTAGACAAGACAGGACAAAACAAGGTTTATCCAGTAAGGGTAAATTAGATTTCTAGAAACCTTTGCAGCCAGTGACGTTTATGTGGCACAAGATATTTAGGTTTTTGCCCTTTTTCTTATTATTCCTAATTAGATGTTTACATGGGGGTGACACGGTGGTGCAGTGGTTAGCAATGTCACCTCAAAGCAAGAGGGCTCCTGGTTCGAACCCAGGGTGGGGGAGCCCCTCTGTGCGAAGTTTTCTCCAGCTTCCTCCCACAGTCTAAAGACATGCAGGTTAATTGGTGACTCTAAATTGTCCGTAGGTGTGAATGTGAGTGTGAATGGTTGTCTGTCTCTGTAGCCCCTTTTACACTGCCAGATTTTCGGCGAATGTTGCGCTGCTTTGCCGGCAAGCTGCGAGCGTTTAGACACACAGAGGCGGATTGGCGAGTTGATCTGAGGTGCCCAATTTTCCGCCTCGTAGGGTAGACATATTGGTGGAACCCTTTTAGTTTAAACAGACTGAGGCGGCCTTCCACAACGGGAGGAGCTGTTGATGACTTGTGGGAGGAGCTGTTGATGACACCGCACGTGCGAGCCACTGGCGGTGGATAAACAGGAAACAGCTGATAGCAGGAATTAGCGAGCAGCTAGTAGCAAGAGGGAAACACAAACCTGACAGACACTGTAAAGATGAGCAACTGGGGAGACAAGGAATTGTGCGCCCTCCTTGTCCTCGCAAACGAAGAGGCCATTAACCGTCAGATGACGGGGACGGTGAAGGACGGGCCGACTTACGAGAGAATCATCGAAGGACTGACCAGCCGCGGCTTCCCTCCCACGTCACTGTTTACGTCACACGCTGAGCTACATGTTTTGTTACTTGCTCACGCCCCCCATTGCCCCGAAAAAGGCACATTCTGTATAAACAAAAGTAGGTAGGCGGCATTTTGCTGCACTCCCCGATTTTGTTTTCATACTGCCAATGCTGAAAAAACACTGATTGGGCTTTCCTGCAAATTTGCACAACTCCTGTTTAAAAAGGGCTTATGTATCAGCCCTGTGATAGTCTGGTGACCTGTCCAGGGTGAACCCTGCCTCTCACCCAGTGTCAGCTGGGATAGGTTCCATCAACCCAGTCATGAAGAATGAATGGCTGAATTTTTACATGGCTAATGAAAATATATATTACATGCAGCCTTGCATACTAAGATTAACGACAACAAGCAGGGGACTTGTTGAACTGTGTGAACACAGCTTCCCTCTGTCTTGCAAAAGTCAACGCTTTAATATTTGTATATATCCAAAAACTTGTTAATGTCCAAGTCTTTTAGAAAGTTTTAAAGTAGGTGTGTTTCTCCTTCCGACCAGAAATGTGGACTTTTCTTTTGGGCATGCACTTCTACGCCAGCCTGAAAATGTTGTATACAACGCCCTAGAGAGCTGCTTGCAGACACAAATCTACTGAGTGTGGGCAGATTTTAATTTGGTGGGAGCAGGCAGTCAAAAAAATGAACTGTAGGTCCCATGATTTATTGGAAAACACTAAATTTAGGAGTGCTGCTCCTGATCAGTGTGTTAAAGTCTGTCTTTGTACCAGCCCTCTCTGTGTACCTGTCATTCAGTGTGCACCTGGAAGCTAATGACTCACTGGCCAGTTACAACCAAGTTAGTTCACTTGAGGAGAGACTCCACTTTTTAGTGAAAAGAATATTTATTACTTGTGCACAGGAGTAAAAATATGAAAAATCTTAGGCGATTAGACCTCACTGAGATGGTATATATTTAAGGAAGGTGATGAATCCATGGTTTCCTCCAGGTGCTCCAGCTTCCTCCCACAGTCCAAAGACACGCAGGTTAAGGCCCTGTTTATACGACAACGATTTCAACTGAAAACAGTAAACTTTAGTTGCGTTTTTGCCGATCGTTTACACGACAGCGGCGTTTTGGGTGCCTGAAAACGCAACGATTTGAAAACGGGTTCCAGAGTGCAACTTTTTGGAAACGGCAGCGTCTCCGTTGTCATGTAAACTTGCAATATGCAGTTCCTCAGAAAACGGAGACTTTTCGCACATGCGCATTGCGGTTCCAGTCACGAGGCATGTCGACCGTCACAACAACAATGGCGAGCTCTGTTTGTGCTGCTCACCCTGTTGATTTGAAGTGAAGTGTAGATCTGTTACTGTAGCAACTCCACCTCGTCGTCCATCCAGACAAAGTTATCTGTGCGTGCTTTCACCATTGTGTCTTCTTTGTTTTGGTTTGTAATCACCGCGTTGTAGAGGAAGGCGCTTCAGCGCAGGCGCATGGCGTCATGCCGTGGTGTTGCTTTGCAAATTTACACTGCCACCCACTGGCCTGGCGTGCATACTACAGCGTTTCCAGTAGATTTTGCGGCTCTGTGTGAACAGAGATCATTTCAGTAACGTCGTCATATAAACGCAGAAGTTTTTTAAAATGCAAAGGACAGACTTTTCCGTTTGTACTGAAATCATTGTCGTATAATCGGCCCCTAATTGGTGACTCTAAATTGTCCGTAGGTGTGAATGTGAGTGTGAATGGTTGTCTGTCTCTATGTGTCAGCCCTGTGATAGTCTGGTGACCTGTCCAGAGTGAACCCTGTCTCTCGCCCAGCTGGGATAGGCTCCAGCCCCCCACGACCCTCAAGAGGATAAGCGGTTAGAAAATGGATGCCTGGATGAATCCATTGTAAAAAAAAAAAAGGGAACCCTCCTCAGGTTGTAGAGACTGGCGGTGGTAGAGGTGATGAGGATGAGATGAGATGAAGAGAGTGTTGATGATCTGGATGTGAAGAGGAGGTTTTGGTGAGCTCGTCCTGGACTCTGTGATGGCTGGAGGTGAACGAGGTGGAGGAGGGTGCGACAATTCTGCCTGAAATGACGGCTGACAGCAGCAGAGGAGAGAGCAGATTTAAAATGTTGGCGTCTTCCTGATTGAACTGACGCTGAGCTTCAGTTAAACTTGTGCTTACATCACAGGATCTGATGTAGCCTACTGCGTCACCATTGTTGTGACTGTATTAGAGTGGATAACTTGTTTTAATCGTGTGTGTCTCAGGGTCTGAAGCCGATGGACTCAAACGGACTCGCTGACCCATATGTGAAGCTGCACCTCTTACCTGGAGCCAGTAAGGTAGAGTAATGTTAATGTAACTAAAAGGTGTTGATTTAAAATAAGCTGTGCAGCTCTGATGTAGTTATCAGTTTTTTATGTCGTTGTCTTTTCTCAGTCCAACAAGCTTCGCACCAAAACACTTAAAGCCACTCTGAATCCAGTGTGGAACGAGACTCTGGTGTATCACGGCATCACTGACGATGAAATGTCACGCAAAACCCTCCGGTAAGAGCAACCTTAATCTTCCTCCTACCAAGTCAAAGTACAGTATTTACCTCTGAGATGTAGAGGAGTAGACTGTAGAAAGTAGCATGAGAAGGAAATACTCAGATTTGTACGTCAGTACTCGAGTAAATGTACTCTACACTATGTGTCTTCAGGCTTTCTGTGAGCGATGAGGACAAGTTTGGACACAATGAATTCATCGGAGAGACGCGAGTCGCTCTGAAGAAACTGAAGTTTGACCAGAAGAAGACCTTCAATGTTTGTTTAGAGCGAGTGATCCCGGTGAGCCCGAGGACGACACTCACATCTCAGACTGTTAAAGGTTCAGTGTGGAGTATTTAGGGGGACTTGGTGTAATCTAGCTGCGTTGTTTCCCCTTGTTTCCTGTCTTTATGCTAAGCTAAGCTAAACTAAGCTGGTGTTAGCCTCAAATTTAACATACAAAGAGGAAGCAAGAAGTGAGTGTACATCCCAAACTGTTTCTCTGCTACATCACCGTTTTATTGTCTCTAAGTTGTTTTGAATCAAATGCAGTTAATTTCCAGCAGATCTAGTGAGGGAGTTGGAGACACACTGCTTCACTTAATAGGCTGCTTGATGGGCCTCCCACTGGTGACGTTAACTTTCATGGGATGCACTTGATTGGATTAATGTGTTGCTCGCTGGGCAGTCCCTGGTTCTCTGCGGCCTGCTCACAAACTTTGTTATTCCGTCGAAACAATCCACCAAAATAATTTCAATCAGGAGAGACTCGTTCTGAAAGAAATGTGCACATAAAGATGAGAACTGTGAACAGACCCCATTGTGATGTCATCTCTTCCAGGAGGTGGTAAAGACGCAGTAGATTAGGGCAGTGGTTCCCAACTGGTCCAGCCACAGGGTCCAGACCCTTCCTTAGTCATTAGTCCAAGGTCCTCACAGATTAATATATTTACTCACTTGTGTTTGGCCGTGTTGTCGAGCTCGTTTGCTGTCTCTGTCAAGTAGCTGTCTGTTCTGGAAACGGCGCTGGAAATTCACCGTATTTGAAAATAAAGTGTGTTTCTTACAAACTTGACACATTTGTGAGTCACTTGTGGTCCATTCAGAGTGGACTCACGAACCACCAGTTGGGAACCACTGGATTAGCAAACCTCCCCAGTCTAGATGCTGGTGGTGATGATGAGATGAGGTGAAGAGGGAGCTGAGGATCAGAATGTGAAGAGGAGTGGGCTCTAGATAAGGTGACTGGAGGTGAAGAGAGCGCGATAATTCTGCCTGACAGGAGCAGAGAGGAGAAAAGATTTAAAGTTTGGCAGCAGCAACAAAACTGACTGAAGGAGATTGTGGCAAAGTTTGATTGGAGGAAGCGGGATAGAGAGGGAACTGTGAATGGGTATAGCATTAAGAAAGTTTTCCTGACTGATCTTACGCTGAGAAACTGGCAGTGCCACGCTTAATCTTATTTTACTTTAGAGTGACATCAACAAGTTTGACAGCGCGGTCCAAGTGTCCAAAGCCAGGTGCATTGAGCTCAACGGACTCATTCACGTAAATCTAGTCTACTTTATGCAAATACAGACAGGTGAATGCGCCCCAACCTCTTCTCCAAACTCACAAGAACACTCCCACCATGACTGCTGCGTGACTGGTTCCCCTGCTCTCCAGAGGAAATGTCTCTCTATCACCAGATCTGGTGGAAATGAGCTGTTAGTGTGTACAGAGAGAGAGTAATGAAAACAGAGCTAGTGGTGATGATGAAGATGATGATGATGATGCTAACCACTGGTTTACTGTCTTTATAGGTGAAGAAGGCTGTGGGAGGACCCGCTCGGGGTATGGCGCTCTATGAGGATGATGTAAGACCCTCACATGGATCTCAAAGAACTGTGTGTTGGATAGTGTTGGACCTTTCTGCTGTATTCAGAGAATTCAATTTGTGTAGATATGAGAGTAAAAGTGTGAAGAGAGAACAGCTGGTGATAATCTACATTTTTCTCATGGTCAATAAACCCACAAAAAGAGCAAAAACAGCATACTGTGTGTGTGTGTCCAAAGCCTGGTATGGCTCATCGTCTGTGCCACAGCTGTATCTGATACTGACCTTATTAAGCAGATTGGGTCTCAGCCGGACGTGATCGACCCACATTAGATTTCTTCATCAATATCATTAAAATATTCACTGTTTCCGCTCTCAGCTTACATTCATAAAGTCGCTCATGATGGGAACTCACTTTGCAGTGACACAGCAGTGTATGAAAACAGTACCAGTGACTTTCACAAGGTGATGATTCCAGATTTCATATTTGGGGAAAAGAGAGCGCCTGTATTGTTTTGGTTTCCAACAGATACCAGCTGTATTAGGAAATTACTGTTGTTTTTTTCTAAATTTGTAGTTCCCTTGACCTATTTGTAGTCCTTACATTTCTCTCTAAAGTCATTTTGAGTCTCTTCCTGGTCGATTCGTGTTCATTTTAGTGACATTTTGCAGGTGAGTGCCACGGTGCCTCTGGCACTTTAGGCCCCTGGGCCTGTGCCCATTAGGCCTGCTCAGTAATCCGTCCATGTTCATGACTCATTAAAGAAAAAGCATCTTCATTAGAGCCAGACTGCAGAGGGAAGCCAGACAGTGTTTAAAGGCGGACTAATATGTTTTTTCTGTCTTTTTGTCAGTGTAATGTACAAAATGTCAATGTAAATGGAGTTAAGCTTATTGCATAATACTATAGATGGAGATAATTTGTACTTAAGCACATACATTATCCTCCATTAGTAGATATTATGATAATCACTGTATAATCCCTTCAGATATGTGCAGAAGGCAAAGAAGCATTCAGATCTCTGAAATGAAGTCCTGTTACTTTGTGCTCTCTATTACTTGTGTATATACTGTATATATTTCTGTGTGTGTGCATGTGTGTGTGCAGCTGAACGAAGGTGAGGATTCAGAGGAGAGGGGTCGTATCCTGGTGTCACTGTTGTACAACAGTCAGCAGGGTCGTCTGATCGTGGGCGTCGTCCGCTGTGCTCACCTGGCTGCCATGGACTCCAACGGATACTCTGACCCATTCGTCAAAGTGTATGTACCTGACCTGAACATGGTTAAAGAAATAGCCTCTCATGTCTGTACAGGAAATATGAAGCTACAGCCAGCAGCCAGTTAGCTTAGCTTAGCATAAAGACTGGAAACAGGAAACTGCTAGCTTACCTTCCACCATCCTTCACAATCCTCTTGATGTTACCATGGCGTTTAACGAAGTCAATATGACAGAGTTTAGCAGCATCCTTTCTGTGCTTGACCTCCGCTTTGAACACGAAGCCCGCACCTTTTCTCTGTCCCCTGATTACATGTCCCATTGTGTCCTAAACTCCGTTGAAAATGCACGTTTGTTTCATCCATACAAAACAAAAAGTTATAAAAAGCAAATTACTGTTGGCTATTATTCATGACTCCACGGCTGCGATAGCTGTGACTCTATCTATCCGTCCCATTCTCATGTACACTATATCTCAAGAACGACTAGAGGGAATTTCAACATCCACTTGGACTTACTAATGAACGAATTTGATTTTGGTGGTCATTAGTCAAAGGTCAAGGTCACTGTGACCCTGTCTGCCTCATTCTTGTGAACACAATATCTCAAGATCACCCTGAAGGATTTTTTTTTAAAAATTTGACACAAACATCCACTTACTCATTTTTCACTAGGACTAAGTGATGAACTGATGAGATTTTGGTGGTCAAAGGTCAAGGTCACTGTGACCCTGTCTGCCTCATTCTTGTGAACACAATATCTCAAGATCACCCTGAAGGATTTTTTTTTTAATTTGACACAAACATCCACTTACTCATTTTTCACTAGGACTAACTGATGAGATTTTGGTGGTCAAAGGTCAAGGTCACTGTGACCTTGCATCCATCTCATTTTTGTGAGGTTAATTTCTTCAAATATGACACAAATATCCACTTAGATTTCACAATGAACTGATTAGAATTTAGTGGTCAAAGGTCAATGTCATGGTGACCTCATCTGCCTCATTCTTGTGAACACAAGATCACCCTGATGATTTTTTTTTTTCAAACTTGACACAAACATCCACTTACTGAATTCTAACCAGGACCTTATGAAGAACTAATTACATTTTGGTGGTCAAAGGTCAAAGTTACTATGACCTTGCAACCATCTCATTTTTGTGAGGGAATTTCTTCAGATTTGACACAAATATCCCCTTAGATTTAACAATGAATGGATTAGAATTTAGTGGTCAGAGGTCAAGGTCATGGTGACCTCATCTGTCCCATTCTTGTGAACACAATATCTCAAGATCACCTTTATGGATTTTTTTCAAATGAGACACTGAGGTTCATGTGGACTCAATGATGAACTAATTAGAATTTAATGGTCAAAGGTCAAGGTCAGTGTGACCTCACAAAATATGTTTTTGGCCATAACTCAAGAATTCATTTGCTTATTATGACCAAACTTGACACAAATGTCTAACAGGATAAAATAATGAAGGTCAAAGGTCAGCTTGACTGTGACATCATCACGTTTTAACGTCATATCTCAGGAACAGAAGGGGAGACATTTGGTCAGATACTGAATTGGTGACTCTAATCTTGAAACTGTGCTGATTGTATAGATCTTCTGTGTGTGAAGCATCCATGTTTTCACTGACATGGATGGAGACTGTCAGAGCTCCACTGGTGTGTGGAGGCGTACAACCATGTGGCGGTAATTCTCGTTTTACCTGTCGACCCATGGTGGAATGTATCAGAGTACATTTACTGTATTTGAGTACAATTCTGAGGTAATTGTACTTTCAGTACAAGACTTTTACTTGTAACAGAGTAGTTTTACTACAGTAGGCCATTTCTAATTTTACTTAAGTTAAAGACGTGAATGATCTGAGTACCACTGCTTTAGACAGAGCAGAGCTAGCTGTATCCCAGTGTTAATGCTAAGCTAAGCTAACTGTCTCCTGGCTGTAGCCTAATGTTCAATGGACAAATCTGAGAGTGGTGTCAATCTTCTCATTTAATTCTCAGCTCAGTGATACATGTGTTGAATTAATTAATAATAAAACAATGATGTTTCTCTTGTGCTGCAGATGTCTGAAGCCAGATATGGGGAAGAAAGCTAAAAACAAGACACAGATAAAAAAGAAGACTCTGAATCCAGAGTTTAACGAGGTCAGTTCTGTCTGAACTGCTGCTGTCTGTCTGCACATACTGTGAACTTAACCATTACGTAATAACATTTCATGTTTCTTTACTGTGTTGCAGGAGTTTGGTTATGAAATAAAACACGGTGAGCTAGCCAAGAAAACCCTCGACATCTCTGTCTGGGACTACGACATGGGGAAATCTAATGATTTCATTGGTAAGTCAGTGTGGATATTATCTTGCAGAACATTCATCATTCATCCTATTTGACATTTTTAGCCATGCTGGGGGCTCTGGGGATGAAAATGTCTGCTGGTCAGTTGGTCCGCCACTTTGGTCCAGACTGAAATATCTCAACAGCTATTGAATGGAATGCCTTGAAATTTTGTAAAAAAAAAACAAAAAAACTTCACATCCCCCCCAGGATGAATTTTCATAACTTTGATGATCATCTGACTTTTTATCTTTGGTTTATGATGAAACACCAGCAAAACTAATGACACTTCTGTTAACCTCGGTTGTAAGCCTACTCGATGCTGTTAGAAAATGTCAGCACACTGACACGGTAAACTAAAATGGCGAACATGGAAAACAAACCTGCTGAACATCAATATGTTAGCAGTTGACATTAGCTTAAATACAGCCTCTTAGATCTGCTAGCATATATAAAGACTCTTAAGCTGTGTTTATACCTGGTATTAACATGTGTCTTTGGTGATAGTATCACAAGTGGACAGTGACAAAGGTGGTCTGGGACCGATTTGAGCACATTTCTTTTGTAGTGTGCACGGTAGTGTCTGCTACTGTCCTGATGCATCCCTGACAAGGACTCAAAGTATCCTGATACAACAGTTTGTATGATATCTAACAAAAATACATGTTGTCATGTTATTAACTTACTTAAAGTTACGTAGGTTAGGTTTATAAAAGTATTTAAGTAAGTAAGTTATGTAGGTAATGTTTAGGGAAAGAAACATGGTTGGGCTTTGTCATGTCACGTACTAAACTTAAGTTATCTAGATTAGGTTTAGGAAAGTAAAGTAACGTAGGTTATTTTTAGAAAAGTATATATATATATATACACAAGTTAGGTTTAGGAAAGTAAAGTTAGGCAGGTTACATTAGGGAAAGAAACATGGTTGGGCGTTGTCATGTTAGGTACTTAATGTAAAGTTGTGTGTGTTAGGTTTAGGAAAGTAAAGTAGGTTTTAGAAAGTAAAGTTATGTAGATTAGAGTTTAGAAAGTAAAGTTACGTAGGCTAGGGTTTAGAAAGTAAAGTTACGTAGGTTAGGGTTTAGAAAGTAAAGTTACGTAGGCTAGGGTTTTAGAAAGTAAAGTTACGTAGGCTAGGGTTTAGAAAGTAAAGTTACGTAGGTTAGGGTTTAGGCAACCTGGTGTCACTTCAAAGTCATCGAAATCCGGCACTGGGGCAGTGACTTGCGGCATCAGACACTGATGAAAAAGTCTCCTTTAACGTCGGCATGATACAGGGCCTATCGCCGTTATAGTTAAATGGCACTCGGCAGTGTCAAAAGGAAACGCAGCAGGACACAAACGAAAGTTAGGGCGATGAAAGGTTTAGGAAAGTAATGTTATGTAGTTTAGGTTTTAAAAAGTAAAGTTACATAGTTTAGGTTTAGAAAGTAAAATGAGGTAAGTTAGGTTGAGCAAAAAAAATCTACGTAGGTTAGGTGTAGGAAAGTAAAGTCATGTCGGAAAAGCAACATGGTTAGGCGTTGTAATGTTACGTACTTCACGTTAAGTTTTGTACCGGTAGATTAGGTTTCAGAAAGTAAAGTTTTGTTAGTTAGATTTTAAGAGAGTACATATACGTAGATTAGGTTTAGGAATAAAAACATGGTGACAACATACCTTAAAATAACTCATTTGGTTTAACACAGGACATGAACACTGGTTTCCCAGGGGAAAGTTCTGTATTTGTTTGACCCATCCACCACCTTATCCTACCTCCTTACATGGACTTTTGCTCTTTATACTACTTCCGTCTTAACTTCCATCAGCGCTGATCACATGATTGCAGCCTTCCTGATTAAGTGGGTTGTATATGAATTCTGGTGCATACGTTTTCATAGGTATACATACACACACGGCATGAGAATGCCATGCAAGGCTATGTTGATCACTGCAGCTTGTTTTGGTGACAGTGTGCTAATGCCTCCACCTGTAATAACTAGACTGCTAACATGACAAGCAAGCAAGGAGCTAGCAAAAGTGTGGTCATAATTACCATGCGTGGGGCCCTTTGAACTATTAGCATCAGTGACATATGCAGTAACCAAATCTGGACACAAGTAGGCAGCTGGAGATAGACACAGGTTTGTCCTGTTTACACATTAATGCTCCCTTCTGTCTCCGCCTTCAGGAGGATGTCAGCTGGGCATCCAGGCTAAAGGAGAGTGTTTGAAGCACTGGTACGAATGCCTGAAGAACAAAGACAAGAAGATCGAGCGCTGGCATGTTCTGCTAAACGACAACACTGCTCAGTTTGAGGATTAAATCGTCCTCCACCTGTTCTGTGTAGTTTCTTTCTCTATCATTCTCCTTGTAGAATATTGTCTTTAGTGAGCACAGGTAGACGGATATTATCCTCTTGCTTTATGTCCCCAAAGTGCAGGCTACATTTCCAACAGTTTTCAGGTGACCAACATGGATGTTGACCTCGGGACTCTTTTTAATATGAAGCAGCCTCTAAACAAAACCATTTCTGCTGTTATCAGATCATAAACTGCATCATATAATTAATAAACCTTACCTAACATGCAGTAATGATTGCACAGAGAAGATAAGACCCCTGCGATCAAGCCTCCAACCTTAGACCCAACAAAGGGGAATCCCACTGCTCTGTCTCTGACCTGTTGTCCTCGTGTTGATCTGTGCTTCTGTCATATAGGATCATGTGTTATCAGCTGTTCTATGTGACCATGTTGTTCCGAGTGCTTGCGTCACCATAACATTCGCACCACTTGTGTTACTGTGGAACATGCATATATTAAATATTAAATGGGACATTTAAACATTTTTGGCTCCAAAAATGATGTGAACAAACTCACTTTTTTTTTGTTGTTGATGTGAAATGCATTTGCTTTTGTTGGTCTCATTATCAGCACCTTCACCTGTGCATGTGTGAGCTCTCTGTTGGAGAAATCCAAATGCCCAAAATGCTTCTGCATGATGTTTTATGATGAAGAACAAACTCAGTCATGCAACCATGTTATCACACGTCCAGAAAATCCACAAAATATTCCTCCAGAGATATATTTAATAGATGAACATAAATGAGATCTGCACAAGTGTCTTGAGCGACATGATGAATATTTTGCTCTGTGTTCATATTGATGCATGTCATACTGTAGCAGACACGTGGCTAATAAAGACACTTGGCACTTCCTGTGCTCCTGTGCTTCTTTGATATGCACCGTGACATGTGGCAGAAAACTTTGTCTGAATCAGGCGAGGTTTGAACCAATCAGCTCACACAGACACGCAGCTGAAAATTCTGTGAACTTTGACTTCTCTTGATAAAACTTGTCTTCAGTCCAAGTGGGTAAAAGTTTACAGACTCGTTACACTCTGAAGAGTCTGTCCTTGAATCCTAAGCTGAGACAAACGTGTAGTCTGCAACCTGGTTCCTAAAAAGTTGGGAAGCTGTGGAAAAAATATGAACAGAATGCAATGATATGCAAATATTTTTCTGACCTATATTCAGATGAATTCAGAACAAAGACAAAATATTTAATGTTCAAACTGACACAAGAGAGAAGAGACCGGGAAAGTTGTGGAATGTTAAAAAAAACTCCTGTGGCCAGTTGCATGAAACACCTTAGGTTAAGATTGTCCTTAAACTCAGAGATAAGGATACTCTAAAATAAAATCAGTTGAACAAAACACCCCTTAGTGTTCTTCTTAAGGTTTACCTACAATGTTCACTTGAAGTGGGATTTTATTTATTTATTTAACCTTTAGTTAACCAGAAAAAAACCTCTTAAGAGTAAAAATCTCTTTTAATACTTCTGTGTTTAATCGACACTGTACCTTTGGTGTGCATAGACGTGTATTCTACCCTGCAGCCTACAATGTAGACTGATGTGCATCTTGCCAGACGTCGCAGCTACATAGACCCTGTTTATTTTTGTAGGCTGAAACCATTTCCCTCAGAGGAAACATTTATTTACTTCAGTTTCACAGATAAGAAACATTAAATGGTGAAGACAATAAAGCCTCCACAAAAATAACATTTTAAGTTTGATTCACCCTGGCTTCTTATGAATAGAGGGAAAGTCCATTAGCCACTAGGCTAATTTATGCAATAGGAAATGTCATAGGTTTATGCTAATAATGCTAGCATGTTGTATATGTGGGGAAAACATGTCTAGTATAAAACACCTGTTGTGTCAGTGAACCTTGTGAGTTATAAAGAGCAGAATTTTGTAACGTTAGCTTCGTTAAATGTCGCTGTTGTTCCTGGCTTTGTATGAGCAGAGGAAAGTACACTAGCCACTAGGCTAGTTTGAGTAATGCAAGATGTCTTAGGCTTGTGCTAATAATGTTAGCATGTTGTATTTGTTTGGAAAACATATCTAGTATAAGTGAACTGTTGTCACGGAACCTTGTGACTTGTAAGGAGCCAAATTTTGGGACATAACCTTTGTTAAATGTTGCTGTTGATCCTGGCTTCGCAAAGGAAAACACGCTAGCCACTAGGCTAATTTGAGTAATGCAAAATGTCTTAGGCTTGTGCTAATAATGTTAGCATGTTGTATACATAAGGAAAAAATGTCTAGCAAAAGACCATTGTTTTGCTTTTATGAGGTGCACAGCGCTTTCAAAAAACTCCAACGTAAACCTATCTGTGGAAATAGAATTGGGAATTGAATAAAGAATGAGAGAGTCCATGCAGGGCGGGAAAAACTGTAGGTGGATGAGTCAAACAAAACCAGACTTTCATCCATGAGACTAAAGTTTGTGAAACCAAAAGTCAGTGTCATATTATGCTATTTAAGTGTGGTCATTGTGCACTGATGTCAGTTATCTTAAGCCACAACATGATCTTTGTTCTAAACCTAGCCAAGTAGTTTTGTTGCCTAAACCTAACTGCAACTGTTTCATATTAAACACAGTGTTTTTCAGCTGTGCATCACATAGAGATGCTAAAGGGTGCCTTGTGTGTTGCTGAGACACAGAGGGGCGTGACAAAGCCTCAGTATTTGACAACCTGGGAATGAGAACCCGTTGGTCAAGACCTGTCTCCCATTTAAAAAGTGCAAAATACAACAGTGGTGACCCTGGACTGTTGAGCAACTGAAGTTGTTTATCAAGCAAAAATTTAAAAACTGTTCACTTTCAAAACTTCAGCAGATAACGTCTGCAGTTACCAAACACTTACTGAGTGCCGACAAAAGAAAAGGTGATGTAACAAGTTGGTAAACATGTCCCTGTCCAAACTCTATTGGAACCTGTTGAAGGCATCAAACTCAAACTGAGTGTATATTTAGGAAAAAGTTTATCAGTTTAAACAATTAAAGTCCCATCTTGCAGTTGAATGTAGGTCACAAAGGATTTGCAAATCATTATGTTCTGTTTTTATTTACTTTCTACACAGCGTGCCAATGTTCTTGGAATCAAGGGTTGTTCTCTTCCTATCAGTAGCAAGATAAATCAGAAGAGAGGACTGACGGGAAAGATTTATACGTGACAAGACAAATGTGCAGCTGGTCTGACTTAACTCTACAACCTACATAAAGCACAACAGAAATAACCTACTTTTGAACGTGCAGCAGGTTGAGAGTCTACATGTTTGCACCTTATTACATGAGGACTGTATCAGACTTTGTGCGGCTCCCTCTGGAGACACTTTGGGCTTTAACTTCCTTCACGTGAGCAGTACAACTCCACAACATCTGTGAACTATCATTTGTAAAGTTGGTGCAGCTGCCCTTTCAAGGAGCAAAATCCTCCTGGCTTCAAATCTGATAAACGACCTTTATGTTTCCTCCCCGTGTTTACTGTCACCCACGCCTTACTGTCAGTGAAGGCAACACATCATAAAGGTATGATGTTTACCTTCAGGGAGGAAGCATCTATCTGAAGAAACGTCTTCAACATTCATTTACAGAGCAATGAAAGTAAGTAGTAAGTAGTTTCTGATATAAAAATAAACAGATAAAAAACAGAAGCGATGAATATCATCTTTATTCTCAAACAAATTCAGTAAATCTACATTAACAAGTTCTACCCACTGACAGGTGAAGTGATTAACATTGATCATTTCATTACAGTGCAATGTTCTGCTGGGAAACCTTTGGTCCTGGTCTTCATGTAGGTACCACTTTACATGCACTGCCCACCTAAACACCATTGCAGATCAAGTACCCCCCATGGCAACAGCACTCCCCCATGGCAGTGCCCCTCCAGCAGGCCGATGCACCATGCCATGCCACAATGGCCTGGGGAAAGTGACAAAGAGCTCAAGGCATCAACCTGGCCTCCAAATTCCCCAGATCTCTATCTAATCTAGCCTCTGTGGGACGTGCTGGTGCCCCACCTCATGACCAACAGCACTCAAAGAATCTGCTGTGAACTCCCCAGTGTCAGACACCATTGGACGATCCCAGAGGTCCTGAGTCCATGCCTCAACAGGTCAGAGCCAAGTTCAGCCCAAGTTGCAAGTTAATGTGTCACGGGTCGTGATTAAAGGTAGAAATTATAAGTGCAAACTGACTGCCATCCTGGAGGAGGAGTTAATACCGCTCCCTGATGCTCCTGACAAAAGTCAAATATGAAAATCCTATTTGAAAGGCAGATGTTGTAACG